AAATATCGACAAGTACATCATTTACAGATATATTGGGTAAATGCCCGAGACATCTATAGAAATGTAAATCGCCGCTTTATTTATTTATTTGCTATTTCACAGTTGCTGCTTCAACACTTTACCAGTAAAATCGAAACATCAGGTGCAGAAGATAGTTAAATGGTTTTGTTAATGGTTAAAATAGAAAATCTTGCTCAAGAGTGACTCATGCATTGCAAAACTTTAGTTTCCATCATCTAACATTGAAACAGAAACTTGGATGATCTTTATCTCCATCTGAACTACCAGAATGGGTCATGATTTGGGTCATGTTTGCTTATCAACCCATCTACACAGGTTTGTTTATTTGCAGTCGGATGCATTTAGAGTAAATTATTCACGACTACAAGACATATAATTTTCCTTGACGTTTCAGTGGCATTTACAGTAAACAAAGCAAAAGGAAAATATCTGCAGCTGTTTTTATGCCTCCCTGATGCCCACACATTGGAAGACTATGTGGCATCGGAGGAACAGGAGGGTCCCTCTCAGTGGGCCTCAGAACCACCTCTTCAGGAGCAAAGTCTGGCATGTCACTGGCACCTCAGGTAACATATGCTCCTGCGACAACTTCATTATCTCTCATTAGCCTCATCCTATAAGAACTAACTCCACAGACATGCACCAACCACGGAGGTTTATAAATCCTCATCCTCCCATCCAATAACACGTTATGTCAATGTACTTTGAGCGTATGTAAATGACACAGACAGTTATGGGTGGCAGAGCGCGGTGGCACCCTCTGACCTCAGCAAATTTGTGTAATTATGTCAGCTTGTGCTACATTCTTCACAGTACACAGTGCCCATTAATGCGTTCATTAAACACAGCTTAGCTCAGCGAGTGACCAGGAAATCTTGTGGAATTAGACTCAAGCTGTGTTTCCACCGCCGCAGACACACCTGACAAACCAACGGACAGGTTTTTAGTCCCATTCGGTCGCCTGAGAGTCACAGACGAGCAGGGGGGGCTGATGAGGGATTGAGGAAAAGAGCAGCCATGTTTCTACCTCTGACATAACTGGAGTCAAATCTGCTCATGGCTTCAGAAAACATTTTAACACATGAGCAATATATTCCATTAACAAATACAGGAAATTTACCTTTTTTAATTAAAAAAAAGAGCCATTTTTCACCAGGATTGCAATGAAATTCTTTATGTGAATCATCTCAGTGTGCAACTCAAGAATAGTTTGTGCTTTAAGAGTTATTCTGTATGTTTACAGACTAAGAATAATTGACAATTACAGCATTTAAAAAGCTCATGAGTCCTGCTAAACAGGCTTGAAATTATATTTTTCCTGTAAGAGAAAAATTCTGAAACCACTCCAGAGTAATGGATAAAAAGGCCTTTTATAAAACATTTCTTTATAAAATAGATTTATTCTTACTGATCACAGGAGATCGTCTTATAATGTCTGATTGTGCAGGTGAGTCGTGTAAAAGGGCTGAAACAAGGTGTAAATGTCACCATCGTATGTTGTCTCGGTGGTTTACATCATTGCTGTAAAGCGGTCGGACGTGCAGATCTACAGGTGATTGTGTTGTGATTTCAGTCTCTACACAGGTAAATCATCTGTTAAACGTACTCTGTGCGCTTCCTGTAATTTACACCTGTGCCCATCACCTGGTACCGCCGCTGCAGCACAGGCTGAGGCTCCACCTGAGAGCACGAGGAGGAGGTGATCAAGATCAGGCCGGCAACTATGAGGAGAAATCCTGCTGCCCAGCCGCAGTACAAAGCGTCTCCAAACTCCCACCGAGGCACCACGTCAGGCACTTTGTCATCAAAGAAATGCATCACTGCTATATGTGCCATATAGGACACTGGAATCAGACACAGAACCCCAGAAACCATCCCGAGCACCCCTCCCGTGATGATTAAAATCCTCTTGGTTTGTTGACCACTGTCCTCTTTACAGCTGTGGACCAAGTCAAGTCCAGGTATTCCCACGAGAATTCCCAGCATGCCAACAGCGAGGGCAGCACACATGAGGATGCGGGCCAGCTTGAGGTCTGTGGAAAGGCCCAGCAGGCTGTCATAAGCCCTACACTCCATCCCTCCAACGTCCTGGACCACGCAGGTCTCCCACAGGCCCAGCTCGTAGCTCTCCACAGGCAGCAGCGCAGTGCTCATGGTCAGCCACTGCGGTAAGATAGTGGTGGTTAAAGCGCACAGCCATGCTCCAACGTAGACCAGCATCCCCAGCAGCTCCAAAGCGCAGGCGCACGTGTCCATGTTTCTCTCCCCCTCTCTCTGGCCTCCACGCTTGACAGAGCCACAAGAGTTCTTCTTCTCCTTCTCTGGCTGCACTTCAGATGGAGAGGCCTGTCGCTGTGCAGTCGGGACAGGAACTGCTCAAAACACCTGATAATTAGAGTTGACCGCTCTAGCTCTGAGGCTTGGAGCTCGTTCTCAAACAGTTCCCACTCAGAGGAGCACACATCTTCTGCTGCTGGAGGGAGAGGGGAGCCCGCATGGCCCTCCCCTTTGTGGTCCTCCTGCTCTCGCTGCTGTGCCAATGGGCAGCAGGGGCAGAGGCAGAGATGGCCACGATTTTTACAAGACCATTCCTATATGCTCTTCCAAAACTGCATGCCATAAGGGATGTCGTTAAATCTCAACAGAATTGTGTTTATACTGAGAAAAAAAACAACAACTGCTTGAAGTTCAGTTTGCATCCTGCAATCCAGCAATAACTGGGTACAAGCATATGAACAAGGGGCCACACACTACAGCAAACTCAGCTTATTATTTGCAAATGCTAAACACTCTTGTCATAAAGTTAGTTGCCACTAAAGCCCTTCATCTCTGTCCTCAAAGGGTTTTTCCTGTAGCCATGAGTAGCCTGGTTAGAAAAACACTTCAGTGTTAGAGTATCATAAAGGCAGTGTTGCACAACTAGGCCTTTGAGTGATTTATTACCAGTGAAAAATGTTATGTAAGGACAGTAATGCTGAGATTTGCTCATAACCATTTAAGTTAAATTTAAAAATATATGAATATTTTTGTCATATTCCTCGTGGTGGGATAGCTGCTCACAGTCAGGCTGTCTGCTGCATGTGACTAAATCTGAAACAACAGAGCAGCTTATTGTGTGCTCTCGTATGAACACTGCATGGTTGTGGGAAATGATCGTAGGAGGCAATAGATCAAAGCTGAGATGTGAGAAAATGTTTCCCGTTCATAAACTCATAGACAGCCGTACAAACCACAAACAAACACACAAACAAAAATGCACAGATAACATCCCCGGGCTGCCAAACTCCTCCTGCTCCGGCGAAGAAAACACTCAGCTGACTGCTGTGATGTCCTCACAAACACTTAAGGAATACCAAACGATACCAGAAACAAGCTTAATCTCAGCTTTAAAGGGACGTCTCTGCAGCTATAGACAAGTTACTCATGATGTTCCTGGCCAAGAATGTCACATTACACATCCAACTTAATTTCTGTCTCTGAAAATATGAAAAATTAAAGTGTAGTTGCAGTTCCCCTTCTTACCCACAGAGGCCGCCAAATATCCTGCAAAAATAAATAAATTGGCATGTGGTGGGGGATATTATTCAGAGTTTAAAAGAGTATTTTTTAATACTCTGAGAGAGAGTCTCACCTAGTGTCTGGTTTTACTGCTCCTCCTAATCCTCTTTCTAACTTGTTCTTACACAGTTTTAAACTTAGCTGGATGCACAGTGTTAATTATGCTGACCACAAAATAGTTTGTAAATTTGTAAGTGAAAAACCCCTCACTACTGCACAAAGAAAGACAAGCAAGGCAAGCCTAAAATGATTTGGTACAGTATACTATATTAGTACATACAATACTATACTAATATAGTATGTAAAGTACAGAGGAGGTATAGTGGATATATTGGACAAGGCATGTTGAGTATGGAGCTTCCAAGCAGGAGGAAAGGAGGAAGAGCTCAGAATATTCATTAATGTAATGAAGAAGGACATGCAGAGGGTTGGTGTGACAGATGAGGATGCAAAGAAGAGGGTCAGGTGGAGGCAGATGATCCCCTTTGGGAACAAAAGGGAAAACCTACAAGAAGAAGATGATAGTTGCATATTTTAGGTAATTTGGATATATTTTAATCTACTTTTAGCTACTTAAGTAAGAATAATTGTAAAACAGTTGAAACGCCAGGAAGTTGATCTGGGTGGCCGGTGTATGAGCTGTTGCAGTGCCAATTAAGGCCAAGAGGTGGCGCAGCTGCACTACTAAAACGACTCCTTCAAACAACAGCGTGATCGGGGGAGTTTCCCTCGATTTTATATTAAAATGATATCTTTTTTATAACTGTCTTATATTAATAATAACTTTAAAAAAATACTTATTTAAATTGTATATACACAAACAGAAGCTACTCTTGAGTTACATTAATGAGTGAATCAACAGGTTTGTGTCGCAGCGTTAGCTAAATCACTCAGCTGAATTAACATTAAAATGAAACGTTAAGTTTATTTTATAAGGTATGTTTTCGCGGCGCCGTGAAGCTTTAATGAAAGTGTTGAGCTCTGAAGTTTCCTCATTGGACAGGGGGAACTGGCTCCGTCGTACGTATGCAAATCCGCTCCCGAATATGGACACGGGGAATGAAATATGGCGGAGAAGGCGAACATGGAGAAACGAGCACTGAGAGAGCCCCGCCGCGCTGATTTTGGAGGGTTGTAGAAAGAAGAAGAGGAAAGTGGATGTACCCCCGGTGGGACTTTTTCCAGCCTCGGTGGAAAGTTTTGTATCTGCGTTTCTTTTCTCCAGCGCGTCCAGGTCGTTTGGTTGTAATGCAGTGAGGAGCGACTTTTTCAGGGGGATAAAAGCAGGGCAGGGGGCTGCAGCCCTCTCACCGTCTCGACGCTATGCCGTGGGTCAGCGGCGGAAAGCGGAGAGAGAGCTCGGAACTGCCGCTGCCCGCGGGCTGGGAGGAAGCCCGGGATTACGATGGCAGAGTGTTTTTCATCGACCACAACACCCGGCAAACTTCATGGATTGACCCCAGAGATAGGTACGCTTAAGGCCCCGGAGTAGTGTTATTACACACACTAACAAAAAGTAATCTTAATACAACGAGACTTCTGTATAAACTGACATAACTCACAGGAGAGCAGGGGCGTTTCCAGGGGGGGTTTAATGGGGTGGCACAGAGGGACCGAGAATGAGCCAGGGTTGGCTCACTGGAAAATAATTGTAGAAAAGTAATATAGAAAACATAAACGAACTACGAACCATCATATTCCCTCAAATAGAAGCTTTTATGTGCAAAATGGCTCTTCACATGAGCCGGAAAATTTCATTCAAAGCTATTTGAAAAAGTTTCACCATCAACATACACTGTTCTTCTTCTTTTTTGTTTATGTTTCCTAAAGAAACCTACAACTTTGATCACAGAGAATATCGTTCCCCCCACATAATACATCCTTACATTTTCTTTCTTTTTTCTGGTTATTTTTATTTACTACATTTGGCCTTATGGTGAACCCGCCAATTTAAGATTTTGTTTTGATGCACTTGATGATAGTAAGCTGTTCTGTATTCATGTCACCAGTTTAGTTCTTAGTTCTAGACCCTGCAGGTTTTAGATCTCACCCAGGGTCAACACACCTGAATCACATGATTAGCTCATTACCAGGCCTCTGGAGAACTTCAAGACATGTTGAGAAGGTAATTTATCCATTTAAATCAGCTGTGATGGATCAAGGACACATCTAAAACCTGCAGGGACACCGGCCCTCGTGGACTGAGATTGGGGACCCCTGTTCTAGACTAAGACGAAGATTATTAGCACTGTGGGCAAAACTGTGGGCAAAATTGCTTGTGTAGTATCTTGTTGAACTTAAGAGATGAACTTAGCCGTATAAGGAAAAGTCAATGAAATCGCCTCTTCCCCTTCCTATTATTTTATTTATTTATTTTTTTTATGGGGTGGCACAAAGCAAGAGGGCATTCACGGGAAATCAGAAAATATAATGTAGACCGTAAATGAAAGTAGAAAGCATTGCAGATCCCTGTGCTCTAATAGAGTTTATGAGAGTGTGAAAATGGTTTGATGAATAACTGTTTTCCAAAGCGGATGTGGAATACTGTTTCTGTTATTTTCATTTAAGTTTATGGTCGACATATAGCTCAATATGATTTAAAGCAAACTCTAAATTTTTCCTACCTTTAATAAATATCCTAGTTTTCACATTTAATGAACCAGTTTACAAAAAATATAACTGGATAGAACTGTCTTAAAATATAGGTGAACTAAATAAGTGGGTGAGTCTATTATCATGTAGATAAACAATAGTATTTTATGCCTGTATTATATTATTCTTGCAAAAATGTAATTATTTTAGTATTTGACTTGGATTTTCAGTCCTCCCTTCAGCTGGCAGTTTTTATTGGGAAACACTAAGTAAGTAATATGTCAGTACAGTTTCCATATAAAGACACTGAGAGGATTTAAAAGTTTTATCATTAAATATACTTAAAATACTTATCATCCAGAATCATGATTATTCATTTAATAATTTTTATAACTGTAATATTGTAGCTGGAGATTATTTTAATTACTTTATTACCGATTGATTGATTGATTGATTGATTGATTGATCGATAATACTTTATTCTTCCTGAGGGAAATAGTCTGATCTCTCCTATATTATTAGCTGTATATTTTAAAATCAAATTATATTTGTAATATCGTATTTACATATAAAATAGAGTAAGAGTAGAAAGTAGAATAATATAGAAATAAAGTAGAAGTATAAATAATAAATGTACTATATTAGACTATAAAACTGGCCCTGTTCATTAGAGGTGGGAATCACCATACAACTCACAATACGATATTATCACAATACTTAACGCACGATACGATATTATTGCAATTTTTAAAAATATTTTGCGATATTCAGATTCTGTACATAAAGGTAAACTTTATCAATATTCATTTTATCTAATATCAAAGTCTCACACTCAGTCTTTCTCTCATTTCAGTTTTATTGTTGACAAACTGAACGGTTTGTATTACAGTCTAGTCCAACTTAACTGAATGCAACCATCTGGTACAATTATAGCTATTCTGAACTATGCAATTTATGAAAACTATGCAGCCCATTCAGCAACTGAAGAATTTGAAAGTAAATTAAAACAAAATATAATTTTACATTAAATAAAAAAAGTTTTAAACTTAATTAAAATAAAACATGTCTTAAATTAAAATAAGTAAACTGTCATGTTTATTGCTGCC